CGTTGAACCTATCTTTTCCAGACCAGCTCGTAGGACTGATGGTAACCGAGGCCAACAGACATACCTACAGAGACTAGATAATGGTTTCCGGCCTGTCGTTGTTCCTAAGAAAGGGAAGCCCCTCCATGATTTCCCTTCAAAGAAAGTTCTTCGGCGCTCCAGACACTCGCCATTATATGGTTCTGATACCGATCTTCAGAACTCAACCGAGGTTGATGATAGACCTCGCAAGCGATTGCGGAAAGTAAAAGCTATTGAAGACCCGCATGCTGTCAGAGTCTCAAAGGCAACGGGTCGTCCTACACGCAAATATGTAAAAAAGCAGCCTTATCAGCGAGATTCCATGAGACGTGGTTCTACTTTGTCTAGGGTTGATTCTATCAATTATTCCTCGGAATCATCCACTGAGCCGGAAAATGTCCGCCGGTCCGATAGGATGCCAAAGCGGGGTGTTAGATCTCTGAATGAGATTGACCTCTTTGACAAGTTCATCGAGCCCAAGTCAGTCGCGAAAACTGTGAGGGTAAACCCGGGACTGAAGACTTTACCAGACTCTTTCTGGTCGAATGACTCGGGAGAGGGTGGGTTTACTAGGGGGTATGGAAACGTGCAGTTCTCAGAACCAAAAATTGCTTCGTATGATTGCGACATGGCGGATGGTTCCTGGACTTCTCAAAACTTGAATATTCTTACACCGGCCACCTTCAAGGTCAGGTGGTCGGAAGAAGATAGCTTTACGGTGAAGACGATCCCTTACCATGATCTTGAGCGTGATCTAGAAGAAGCCGAAGTTTCGGAGCTAGAACAAGCTCAAAATCCGCAACAGAGTGATCCCTTGTTGAAAAGCAATCAAGGAAGCAGCCAAGGTATTTTCGAAACAGCGCGACAGCAAATAGCGCTACTTGAAGATTTCGCACATGTTTTGCCAGATCCAAAAGAAGCTTCCAAGACCTTCGGGGTCGAAATCTCATCATATGGTCTTCGAACTCGTACCAAGCAAGGAATCAAGACCCAAACAACATCAGCAGCTTTCGACACCCGCCTGGTCTTCGCTGTGATTGTCATCCGGACTCTTACTGGTGGTTTAGAAGGACTAATAGATTGGGTCATCCTCTCCAAGCTGTTCCCTGACTTCTCTATCAGCTTTCTTACCACATCATGGCGGCAGCTTTCAAAGAAGTACGATTCCCGAGTTGATGAGCTAGTTGGTGATTTCCAGACTGGATTCTTGGAAGCATACCAGAAAGGTGACGTACCAGCGATTGATTTCGACAATCTGATGAATTACGACTGGGACGCGTTGGTTGACTGGACGCTCGCGACCTTCTCTGCATCCCTCGGCTCCCGTTCCATTACTCTCCCACCTACTCGCCACGAACTGGAAAGAGAATTCACGCTTAGTGAACCACGCGACAATGATCCGCAAAATTGGCGCGCAACATATTTCAGCCACATCAGCCCGAAAGCACCCATCTACAAGCGTCTCGGCGTCGCATGTTCAATCCCCTCCTCAATTTCTATCTACGAACCCGACCCTACTCCTTACAATAGCCTCGAAGTAGCCAAATCCTGGGTCCGTGCCGTAGCTCTGACACCCGAGAGCGAATGGTCCGAATCTTCATCACTCGCGCGCACCAAACTTACTAGCCTAGGAACACCAGTCATCGAAAAAGCAGTTGCGGAACTCAAGGAAATGAAAATAATCCACCACCGCTCGAAGGGCCGCGTATCACCTGGTCGCAGCTATGAGGTAATGGATGCTTTCCTTGCTCCGCTTCGGAAAACCATTTTGGCTGAGCAGTTTGTACAAGCGGTACGATTCAAGGAGTATCTGGACGAGCAGTTTGCGAATGGACAGGAGAGGATTAGGGTGCAGTATATGGCGGATGGGGGGACCACCATGTGCACCACTCAGCTGCAAGCTAGTAGACGGGTGCGGCTTGAGGGGATCAATGTGCCTATGGAAAAGTTTGGCATGTGTGAAAATGGCGGGTATGAGACGAAGACTATTCGGAAAGAGAGGTTCCGGTTCGATATCGACATGCTGCCTACGCCGTCATACCTCTTGAGCGATTCTCTTCCCTTTCTCGATATCCCACCTCCAGGACCGCGTGAGAATGGAGAGTTGCCTCTCTGGCTTAACGTCGGTGGCCACGTGATCCAGGACTTGTGGAGACGGGCTGTAGTAGCTATTGCACAGACTGTTGCGTTGAGATCTGGTGTTACGTTGGAGGGGCTCGTCAAGGCATTTGCTCCTACATTTGGAAAGTGGGAGATGAGCTGTCTGGTGGAGTGGGGGGTGCAAGTTGGGATGTTCGAGAGGGTGCATCCTCGGATTGAGGGGTGGACTGTGGGGGAGTGGTGGTGGGTTATTGTAGGGAGGCTGTGTGAGGGTGGGGATGAGGCCGTTGTACGATAGATAGATAGGGAATTGTAAAGTGTATGGGACAAAACAGCACGACTTCAATGTTCGCATGGAATTGTTTAGTATAGCGACGCGGTTGGACGAGTTGTATGATATATGTTATGTTAAACATGTTAAAGATGAATAATAATACAGGACAAGAATAATAAACCTGCGTCTCCTGAAATTCCTCGGAGTCTACAATGATAATTTGCTACTCTTAATACTAGGTAGTAATATTATCGAATTATCCGAATAGCTTCATTTATCAAAGGAAAAGGAATAATGAACTGGCTAACATTGTTAAAACCCAATTGATAATTCTATTAATTAACCGTCCATCTAGCGTTTTCTCGCGACAGACCGTCGTACTGTAATTAGAACGAATGAAAAGCCCCCCTGCTCCGCTCACGTAAACCCTTGACGTATAAAGTGGGTATTGTGAGGCGGAACATCGAAAGGATTTGCACGAGATACCCATGTAAGGGTGTGATTGGGTCCGAGGTATAGATGGGCTATTTTAAGCAGTCCATGGCTTTCTTGGCAGCTGGAAGTAAGCACTGCGATGGCATATCACCAATCGTTAATTGCGCCGTTCTAATAATAAAATGTAGGAGCAGCTAAATCAACGACGAAAGGAAGAAAGAAAAAGAAAGAAAAATAAGCTTTAAGTGAGCATAGAGTAAGTTGTATGTTCGTACATCGTCTTCTGTTTTGCTGTTCATCGTTCTTGTTCATCGCTCGCTCGCTGGCTGCTTTTCTTTCTTATATATATATGTATTTGCGCACATATCATTCATGGCAGATTTTACAATCTTTCCCCGGCGTCCAGCCCGCGCTGCTTTCTCTGCCATTGTCGTGTGTACATTCATGATATACCTATTCCAATACTACAAATCTCTAGGCACCACCTATGATTCACGCTCCGCGTTCCCTTCATCGCCCCAAGTCCAGACTGAGGACGTCAGAGGCTCGAGACCTAGGAACTGTTCAGATGCCGCCGCCGCATTATATAATCCTCCCCCGCGCACACTAGCTACCATCGACTCGAAATATGCGTTTGCGACATTGCTAGCGGCCGATTACCAAGGGCGGAAAGACGACGATATGGAAAAGGACCATTACTTTGTCGCGGTCCGGATACTGGCGTACCAGTTCCTGCACGCACCGGAAACGCGCAGCAGGCACGGGTATCCATTCATCGTGCTGGTGACCCCGGAGGTGTGTGAGAGGAAGCGCGAGCGGTTGAGGAGGGATGGGGCCGTTGTTGTGGAGGCGCCGCCGTTTGAAGTCGCGTCTTGGTTCCAGGTACCGAATGCGCAGTGGCGGTCTGTGTTGTCGAAGATGAGGGTTCTGGAGTTGACTCAGTTTGAGAGGGTGCTTTTGTTGGATGGGGATACGCAGTTGACTCGGTGAGTGAGTGAGCTTTTTGGAGGGAACAAATATAGTTTTCTGGGGGGTTGAGAGGGAGAGATGCGTATTCTTGTCGGGCTCTTCTTTCATATTAAGGCTGTGGAAGAAATTCTAACGTGAGGTTTAATGGTAGGCCGCTAGATGATATCTTCAACGACCCTGCTACGGCCCTCCAAACCACCATTGACAACCCAGAAGGGATAAATGACGACGAAGGACCTCTCCCGTCAACCTACGGCTTTGCTGGGACGTCCCAACTAGACGAGAACCACCATTTCCCACCGACCCAGGAGGGGGACGTAGTAGAAAAAGGGTACATATAATCCTTCTCCTTACATGTATCCATACAAACTTCCCGCATCATCCTAACAAACAATCCACAGCAATTACCTCAACGGCGGCTTTGTAGTCATGAAACCCTGCCTCGAGCTCCTCAACTACTACATCTCCCTCATGCAAACACCAATCAAACATTTCGAGCCCTATCTGCCCGAGCAAAACCTATGGAACTATGCACATAGGGGTGTGTTTAGGGGCGGCAACATGCCATGGGCGCATCTGAATCTGACGTGGAATGTGCAGGCGGCGAATCTGGGGGATGTAGAGGGTGGGACGGCGAGTATCCATGAGAAGTTTTGGAATCCGGGGAAGAGGGAGTTGTTGCCTTATTTGGCGACTTGGAGGTGGCGGATGAAGGGGTTTTGGGAGGGGATGGAGGAGAGAGGTAGACATGGTTGTGTATAGTAGGATCCTGAGGTTAGGCGTTTGCAGGTTTGAAAATGTTTTATGATTAGACGTGTTTGCTCTCTGCTACTGAACCTATGAGCCGACTTTGAAACCTTTGGCAATTGTGTTAACTACTTTGAGGCGCCAGTACCGACGTGTGCTTAGAATTGAAGCTAGAACTATGATATATGGTATGCCTTTCATATGCAGATAAAGAGACATTAAGAGACATTGAGCTACGGTTTCCCCTGATATGAGAAAAGCATGGAAAATACCCCCACCATTAATCAGCCGCACTACGAGTACCTTAGCGTGGTAGATCAATGTACAGTACTGACCACTTAAGAAAACTTTATGATAACATCAATTATTGATAGGTTTTGCAAGTATCCGCATAAAATGATAATACCGACTTTGATACATGTTTATGCTGGTAGTGTAATACACCTTGATCAATATGAACAGAAGTTTCAACGGCTGCTGGACCTGTCGACTTCGGCGCAAGAAGTGCGATGAGCAGCGTCCTAGGTGCAATGAATGCCTGACGCTTCACATCTCCACCTGCAACTACGGCAAAAAGCCGGCATGGATGGACGATGGTGTAAAGCAGGAGGCCATGGCCGAGCAGATCAAGAACGAGGTCAAGCAGCAGGCTCCCTATCGCCGTCGCGGTAAGAGGGAGTCGGTGGCTACCTCTAATACCAATGTCTCTATTCCCGAATCTGGAGATCAGACCGAAGCCAGTTCTTATATGGATGAATCCAACACGACTCCTTCAGATCCACCAGATGCCGCTTCTCCTATTAACACCAAAAATGTATGTAAGGAAGTACGAAAGATGAGACCGTTCGCACAGTCGGATTCGGTGCTGCTAGTCTTCTACCTCGAACGCATCCTCCCTTTTCTGTTCCCTTTCTACCGGCCTGCGCCGCTCCATGGAGGCCCAGCATGGATTCTAGATCTGGTCATCAGCAGCCCCGTCATCCGTCAAGCTATCCTTTGCCAGAGCTCATATTTCTTTGCATTAGCACACGATACCTCTACCATTACAGACGATCGTATGTGGGAAGCCTTACTTGAGCAAACGAAGGATGCATTTAACATGCTACGCAATTCCATTCAGATTATCGAGAGCTACGACGAGAATGAGCATGTACTTAGCAGCGTTCGCACTATGGCCGCTATCATTCAGCTGCAACGTTTCGAGATTGCCATTACATGTTTCGACAACTGCCAGGCGCATCTCAATGCGGCCCTGACAATTTTCAAAAAAGTCGTCGATGTTGTTGGAGCTGTCAACCTCGCTAGCTCTTCCACCACGTTCCAAACTATCCTCCGCCTCCTTGGCCCCCCAACATGGATCCTACCAGCCCAACAAGCTGAGGTGTCTAGCTCCGAGCAAGCCGCCTTTCGCTTTTCAACCGCCCTTTTGCTTTTTGATGATATTATTGCGAGTACTGCCTTGCAGGAGCGTCCACAACTGTACGAATATCACCACAGTCTCCTATGCAAAAATAGTGGGATCGATAGCGTGCCGCCAATCAACCTTGAAACTACTATGGGGTGTCAAAACTGGGTACTCGAGCAAATCGGCGAGATTGCTGTTTTGGACGCATGGAAGAAACACTGCAAGGCAGCCGGGAACCTGGACGTTGGCGAGCTGGTACATCGCGCAACAGCTATCAAGAAAACGCTAGAGGCTCACCTCTCGTGTTTCGAAAGCGAGTTAGTGTCCGTGCCTCAGGAGAGCAGTTTACTAGACGACATGTTCGCCGCGGAAGACTACTCCGGCCAGGCTCGGACCATAGCTCGACAAAGCTCATTGATGACACGGATCTGGGCGCACAGTACCTTCCTCTACCTATCTGTAATCGTATCCGGGTGGCAGCCTGCCAACGCCGAGGTGCGGCATCATGTAGCTCAGGTCCTCGAGCTGTTAACGCACCATGTGTCGCCTCCGTCCCTGTTGCGTACCATGGCCTGGCCGTTCTGCGTGGTAGGTTGCTTGACAGAGACTGCGCAAAAAGCCTGTATACGCGAGATGGTGGACTCGCTGCGGCCAGCTAGTCGCTTTAGCACTGTGCGCCGCGGCTTTGATATCGTGGAAAGGGTGTGGAATGATAGGGAGATGGGCAATGCTGGCGAATTCGCTACGTATTTTCAAAGTGATACTATGCTTGCCCTACTTGTTTAATATAATAACGCCTTATTACTATATAGGGTGTAAAAACCTCTTAGTTTTCCACCGTCTAGTAGTAAGCGTTTTGAAGGCATATTTGAATAAGAGTATAAATAGTAAAACGTTTTCTTATCTTTGGATCGTTTTATAAGCTCTTCGATTCCTTCAACGAATCACTAATAAAACATAACAAATCCATTATCTAGTTATTATTTTTGCTTATAAGGGAACAGGTATAAGAAGGAATAAATAGAATTCGAAGAAAAGGGAGCGTGAAAGCGTGTGCTTTAAACATCTTAACAATGTAGCTCCTAAATACTCATATCTACCTCACAGCTGCAGAATGCACAGCTGACTAAAAAGCCCTTTTCATGACAATAACAAACCAAGACAACAATTACTATACTTACTATACTAGTATAGAAAGTATCCAACTAAAAGCCACTTAACCTAGAATTCAATATACCCTTTATCCTTAACAAACGTAGCATGCCACGGGACACCCTCCGCCCCGCTCGCCGCCAACCGCATATAGAAATCCGCATGCGCCGGCCCATCGACAGCTTGACCTGCGAGCTTGCCATCAGCCAGGCGCTGGTCCGCGTAAAGGAAGCTAGGAAAGTCAGTTAGCCAGCCAGCGCGCTCACGGCGACGAGGAAATGTCTTGCTCTTGAGATACATATCATATGCATATGCGGAATCAATTGACTAGCAAAGAAAGGAGATTTCGCAGAGTTGGAAAAAAGTACGGTATAGATGAGAACGAGAAGGAGAATGAGAACTTGCCGGTATCCCTTGGCAGCGTACGAGCCGTCCGCAACACCGATCCAGTATGCGGAGGCGGCCTTTCCCATACCGCCGTTTAAGAGGAGCGGGGTGGGGAGGATGGCGACGTTGCAGATGTTGCCTGTGTAGATGAATAGCTTGGGGAGGTCGAGGTCTGTCGGCAGAGATGCCCAGTGTTTGATAGCGTGTTGTGCGGCGATGAAGGGGGTAATCACATTTACGTTCAGGTCGTTGGTGACGCGAGTCTGGGAAATTAACAGAAAAAGTTAGCAGTTTCATTTTGCTTAGTTGTGCAAGAAGGGATCTGGAGATGAGTGAAAGAAAGAAAGAAAAAAAAAGAGGAAGGCCTCCTTTCAAGGAATATATGTATGTACATAAAGTGAAACGGGATATATAAACACGAGTGAAAGGAACGAAAAGGATTGAAGATTTAAAATACAGAAATAATTAAAGAATTAATAAGGCCTTACTTACACTCGGGATAGACAGAGCGGAATCAGGATCAGATGGCGGAGTGATAGAACCAGCATTATACACGACGACGCTCGGTGGCGCGTTGAACTCGCTCACGACCTTTTCGAAGACGGAAGCTAGGACACTGGGATCATTATCGGCGAAATCAGCCTTCAGGGAAAGATAGCCTTTGTCGTTAATGGAGTTTGAGCCGTTGCGTGAGACGAGCGCGATGTTATATCCGTCTGCGGCGAATTTCTCGGAGATGGCAGAGCCGATGCGGGGGCCTGAGCCGAGGATGAGGAGGGTGCGAGGGTTCATTTTCATTTGATGAGGGTGGATGGTAGGTAGATAGCTTTGTGTGTTTGCAGGGTATGAGATAATGGGATTGAGGTAATTATGTGTTTGGGTTAGAGAGAAGTGTTGATTGTTGATTCGGGAGGAAAGAGGATTACTTATATGCCAGCGATGGGTTCTATAAGCCGCGCGCGACATGGGGAACAACAGTAGAATGCAGCCTTTATTCCATTCCCCTTTCAAACCTGTGCTTCTTCACACCGAGTGGACTTTGCAACGTCTGAATAAAGAACTCCGTATGTATACAGTCAAGGCGCGCGGCTTACTTAAGCCGCGCGGGTGCGGGGCCTTTGAAATTTGGAATTAATATTGTAAGATTACAATACAGACAATTTGAGTCTATTCTTTTTCTTATTGCAATGAGAAATCTTCGCGCGGAACTCGGGAGAAATTGAGGGTGCGAGTGCTGCAGAAGTGGACTGAGATACAGAAAGAAGGCATAGTCAAAGTCAATAGCTTTTAGATGCAGCGATAAAAGAGCTGGGACGGCCGTGAAATCAACGATTTCGAACTCTACCGCGTGCGAAGGAGTTAATAGCCCTATAGTACTCCGATTGGGGATGTATACTTTTTCTTTTACCGGTTTGCCAATTTTGTTACAAAGGTCATCAATGCTCATAGCGTTGTAAGTCCTGAGATACTAAAGGAGTTTCCATTTTGCGTGCTATTCACAACGCTAAAACACTTTTCATTTCTAGATATAATGTGATTCCGTACTCTTAAAATCCTCAATCTCTATCCAGATCTCCTCGCACTCAGTCTTGAATGGTTGTAATGCCGGTCCAACTTCATCCAAACACTTCTCAAACTCAGCACTCCGCCGAAGGTCTAAGAATCCGCAAACCCGGACTAATTCCCTCAACAGATAGCGTCGCTCGCCTACATTACGACCAGCAACCCTGCCGATGAACAAAGTCCACAATAATATATTTAAATCAGGATGATTGAACAGCCTGTCTGAATCAAGAGATAAAGTCGTCCTCAGCGTGTCCGTAAGCCTACTCACAATACTACCCAGATTCAAGGGCGGCATCGCCCGAAGCACCTTGTTGATGTATATGAAAACCGCAAGGCGGAACAGCTGCTGGATACCAGCGCTGAACTCGGGATTGGGACTTTCTTTTTCTTCTGGCATGCTGAGGAGTCGGTATTCCAATAGATAGTCGGCGTCGCTCAGGGCAAGTCTGTTGAAGACTGCGAGTGGATCGGAAAATCTCACAGCGGTTATGATCTTCAGTACCTGCAGAACATCATGCTTTGACCAGGTCATGTAATTCTTCTCGTATAGCTTTAGCAATCGCAAGTCGTTGCTAGATAACGATTCGCCGAGGACGGAGGTCAGATCGTCGTGTGGTTGGATGAATGGAAAGCGGGGATGGCAGTTCCAAGTCGTGGCGTGGAAGGTATCTATCCTGATAGGAGCGTCAGATTGGGTCTGCCTTTTTTTATTGTAAGGTCCTCGGACTACAAGACAAACGTACTGGCCTAGTGTTTTCCTTAGTCCGGTTGGGAGTTGGCTTAGACCTCCACGCGCTTCTACCATCTGCTGTAACCCGTTCATATGTAAATTCGAGTTCTCAACGGAACCTGTGAAAATCTGCACTGGTTTAGAAAGAAGAAATATATCTCGAGATTCATTACCATACGTACATTGTGTATCACAAGAAGTCCCACCGCCCCTATAGTCTCATCTTTAATTTGTAGCGCACGGTCACTTAATCGCCGAGCCACGAGATTTAACGTTTGTTGGCAATGGAAAAGGTCGTTCGCACCAGTGTCGTAGAATACAGATGCGATGGATAAGCTGGCGTGGAAAATGGCTTGATCTCTTTTGAACAGACCCTCGAGAGAATTGAGCATGCTTTGAGGGTGGCTGTGTTGGATCTGGACAACCTGACTGAAGACTATTTCTAGTCAGTCCGTGTAAACGAGCTCGTGACTTAGGGAATCGAAGATAAGATTGAACTAACACTGTCGGGCCATAACTGAGACCTTGGGCCTCGTCTGAACTGACATATAACTGGACGAATACATGGGTTTGAAAAGTAGGCTCTCGGGAGATCCCAACAGAGCGCCATTTGAAGAAACTGACCCTGGGCTACCATTTTGGCCACCTGTGGGATGTGATGATAGATTTTGGGGATTCAGATGCTCGGTCTCGAGGCTGTTTCCGGATTTCGGTGGCGCTTGGCGACGGACTCGTGTCAGGGGTTTTCTGGACGTAAGAGCAAATCGAGATTTCCCAGATGCCAGATCACGATGCAATGCAGGTACAAGGACTGTGTTGGGCGTACGGGTATTGCTTCGGAGACTTGCACCACCCGCACCTCCCCTGCGAGTGGAACGACTTGCGTTGGACCGAACGAGCCTACGGACACTGTCATCGCTGGCTACTTCAGCTGGATTTCCGCCGAGGGTGACGAATTTTGACATGGGACGCCCTGTGTCTGCTGTTAAACTCATATAAAATAGGCTCCTTTGATTGTTGGTGTTGGGGGCTTTGTGGGTTCAGTTGATAGCCCTGCTCAATGTACTTACCAGGATTCTCCATTGGTCGTACTTCTCTAACTCGGTCAACGCATTCCTAAGTTATACTTCTAACCCTTCATCACTTGACTGTATTTCCTGATTCTCGGGGAATATTGTTTGAGAACATTTTGCTGGTGCAAGAGCCTTGAAGCCCTGGGTCCCGGACCATTTCGGACGCGCTAAGGATCTCGCTTATTCTGTCTGCACTAGCGCCTCCTTTAAGAATTACCCGATTCGGGCAGTCACCAGTCAATGACAACCTCCTCACATTCTACTTCTGGTGATTCTTAACCACACGATATATAAATTGAGAACTTCAATGCTATAAATTAATAATCCTACCTATGGAAATCCCAGTCAGAGCTGCGAATCCAAAAGGACCCTGTTTGCATCTGGCGTGGCCTGTGCTTATATCGCCCCCTATGCTTTTGCGTCTTCTGGATTTCTGGTTGATGTTTTCTTTCCTTTGAAACTATTTCTTCGTTGTCTCACCAGTTTCAAAACAATCTTCTCTTACGGAGACTGTTATTTCCTACGTCCTATTCAAGCTTGCTAGGAGTAATTGTCCAACTACAACTAGAACTGAACAATCATCCTCTTTATATCAATGAATAGTCTTTCGAGATGGCACCCTCAGTCTGTAAAGGTGTATTTTACTAGCAGTAGAACCATCTTTCGAACTATGGCCACCGTCAGCCAAGCCTCGACAATTTCTCCACACACTCCTCAAACCAAAAAGGTCAATAGTATCACGAGCAAAGAAAGATGCGAGGTAGCACTTCCCAGTGCCAATAAACCTGTCGGCGCATTACAATACGTACTGTAAGCTTGATCCCCCTCCATAAACATCAAGTACTCTAAGATAGATCAACTAACGAGCCTACCTGCCACCAGATCCAGCGTAGATGCCGTCGCAAACTGGGCGCGCATCAACTCCCTGCACCCCATGACATTCGGACTCGCGTGCTGCGCCATCGAGATGATGCACTGTTCGACTCCGCGGTACGATCAAGACCGCCTAGGTATTATTTTCCGAGCGTCGCCTCGACAATCGGACGTTATGATCGTAGCTGGTACGTTGACGAATAAGATGGCGCCGGCACTGCGGCAGGTCTACGATCAGATGCCGGAGCCAAGGTGGGTTGTTAGTATGGGGAGTTGTGCGAATGGCGGGGGGTACTACCACTATAGCTATTCGGTTGTAAGGGGGTGTGATAGGGTTGTTCCGGTGGATGTTTATGTTCCTGGCTGTAAGTTAAAGTTCTATGCTGCGTGATCTTTTCATTTGGACTTGGATATTAATTCGTACTAGGTCCACCAACGGCGGAGGCACTACTGTATGGTCTGTTTGTGCTCCAAAAGAAGATACGTCGGACCAAGCAAACTCGGATGTGGTATCGCAGATGAATGTGTAACAATTCAATCTGACAAGTGTGTATATATCAGTATAGCTTTATCGCTGTGAGTAATCATGCAATACATATCTAACATCTACAGCAAAAGCTATGCTCCACGGTACGTAAGTAAATCCGGCTGGTTTGGGTTCGACTTTGATCTTCAAAGCCACAGCAAATATTTTTACTTCCTTCTGCGCCCAAACACTCACTACCCATACTGCAAAGACAAAACTTTCATACAGCATAATTCCATATATTCTCTACTTCTGCACAACAGACTCAACCTCAGTCAAATCCGAGAGCCACGAGAAAGGAGGCAAGCCACCAAGCACTGCACCAGCGAGTTTCACAAGCCACCCTGCCGAACTCAAGTATCCATACAAGAAGAAAGACCCAAAAGCATTTGTCTTCAGCGCACTGACACGTCCATACTGCAAGACCTGCTCCTCGAACTCACTCAATGTGATCTCGTGCTTGAAGAACTTCTCGAGCATTAGGGCCTGCATCGCGCTCTGTGTGGTACTGAGTGCCATATGCGGACGCATCAGGTTCAGTGCTTCGCCGGCAATGAAAACCGTGCCGTTGAAAGCGGTAGCGCGGGGGCAGGACGCGTCGCTGATGGCCGTGATGAATGGCTGGGTGGTTTTTTGAACCATCTCTGCGAATGGAGGGCACATGACTTTGGAAGCAAGAGCGACGTACGCCGCCCATTCGGAAGGTTGCATGGTGCCGACGGGTAGGGTGTTCCGATGAACGACTCCTGAGGTGTCAGTCATGATGTTTTCCAGTTCGGGTGATCCTGTGGTTAGAGGATGATACCAGACCCAGTTATAGCGGCGGTGACCGGGAACGATTGAACCATCAGTTCCGGGAATGATATACCTGACAAGCGTTAGTAATCAGCCAGAAAAGACGAAAGAAGCCGTCTCACAGCAGGATGTATCCATTATTGAAGGAGTTGTAACTAAGATTTGGGTCGAATGTCTTTTTAGCCTCTTCTGAAACTTCGGATTCAGGAACCGTGCCGCGAAATGCAACATATCCCGCATATACACGCTCTACCCCAGTGAAAATGGAGCTGCGCAAGGCCGAATTGGCACCATTTGCAATAATGACAATATCAGCTAAAAGCTTTCCTTCCTCCTTCTGGTTCAGCAGGTCCTCGTATGTGATCTCTACTCCGGAAGTAATGTGCCCGAGGCCCGTGACACGCTTTCCACACTCAAATACCGTGACACCGTCTTCTTTCTCCGGCTCTGGCGGATTGGGACAGAAGTTGCTCGAGAAGCCATCGAAATTGGCGCGGAGATGATGATATATAACACCCCAAGAGGTCATCTGGAGGCGCTTGTTGAGACGACGCGTGACGGCGGCCGCCTTGTCGAGGAATTGAACACCAGGACTGTGGATTGACCACGGCTCTGTTGTGCGGTCATGGCAGTCCATGAACTCTTCAAAGATTGGATGGGTGGTGATTCCAGCAGCGAGGTCGTCACGCTTAGACTCTGGGTTCTGCTCGAGAATGCGGACGTTGTGACCGAGGCGCTTGAGCACGATGCCGTTCATCAGGCCCGTGTTGGAACCGCCGATCTGTGGGGGGTCAGTAAGCGTGACAAGGACAGGGAAGGAATTGAAGGCATTGCCAATGAGCCTACAATTACAATGTTCATCGTGGAAGCGCCCAGCTTGCTGATGGTGGTGTTGTTTGTACGAATGTATCATGGTTTGTTGATACAGTCAGCTTTCTCATTAGCCTTGGCGGAGGTGGGTCCTAATCGGAGGAAATACAGTAAAGGAAGCGACATCGTGGAACTTCAATTATCTGTTGGTACGTGGACGGCAAAGGCGATGTCCATGAGTTGTTATGTTGTGTAAAATAAAACATGTAGGATACATATAGGACTCGTCACAGCCGTTTGTCCTCCCACACCCCAATCTCAACCCTAACCCGAATTACCGGGTAGATACATGTGAATTCATTATTCACACATTTCAGAGCTGTACATCAAGTCGTTATAGATAAATTAACCTCCAAGTGGAGCAAATATTCCCCGTTCCAGCTACATGGCATTTATCTGTTTCACACCTACTGCCTCGCTGAATTCATTGCACAATTTGCACATATCATTTCTATTATTCATGTATAGCTTGTATAGCTTGTATTCTATTCTCAACTACCATGTTCGGGTTTTAGATAGATAGGGTACAGCTTTCGCTCGGGTATATTGTGTGAAGCTTCTTATAAATATTGCATGTATATCGCATGCGGTTTTAAATCCACCTTTATATCCTCCCCCCTCCTGTCAACAATGGGTAATACTTCAGCTCAGAGTCAAGCTGCGACCACTTCATCAACAGTGGTAATTATTCTCGCCATCATTTCCGTCATCCTGCGCTTCGTCACTCGTAGGATTAACAAAATTGGCCTTGGGCCAGATGACTGGTGGATTCTCATTGGTCTATCCTCCACCATCTTAATCGGTGGCCTTCTTCTATATGGTACGGTATACCATGTATTTCCATCGAGTTATATTTTCTAATGCCTTTGATATAGGAGTGATATCCGACCCCAGCGGTGGGCAGTTTGTCGATCGCGACTCGCCCACATTCGATTACGCTCAACACGTCACTTACCTCAAAGTGACTTTTACCACGGCCGTCTTGTACTTTACAGTCGTGACATCTATCAAGATCTCCATTCTACTCATGTACCGTCGAGTTTTCAGCATCGAAAAATTCCGTCGTCAATCGTTCGTGGTTGGTGGCGTTGTTGTGCTCTGGTGGTTCGTTGGTACACTCCTCACAATTCTTGGCTGTCTTCCCATCCACCGGTTCTGGGTTGGCCCTTCAGCTGGGGGCTACTGTTTCGATCTCAACATATTCTGGACGGGAATGGGTGTGGCAGAGCTCGTTATTGATACGGTGATTCTAGTCCTCCCGATAGGCATTGTGGTGAAGCTGTGGATGCCTCTGCAGCAGAAAATATTGGTCATAGGCATCTTCTTGCTGGGAGGCTTGTACGTCTTCCCTCTCCCTATATATCCAATTCTAATAAATGACAAAGCGTTATTATCACAGGCCTTATTCGCGTGGTACTTGGTTACAAGCCTGGCAGCCGAAACGCCGCATTTCCAAAGGCTGAGCTGTGGTCTGCAATTCATATTGGTATTGCCATCGTCTGCGCCTGTCTTCCAACACTTCGTCCGCTCCTCAGTCGAGCCACTGCGTCTGCGTCCTCCCTAAGTCACCGCATGTACGGCACTCGTTCTGGTACAAGTATAACGCGCGACTATACCGGCACTTCGAATGCTGGGCCCAAGAACACAGGCCCAGGAAGAAAGCCAGAAGAATTAGCTCTGAAAAACATGAGCAATGTTAGCAGTCCCATTGATCCACATGCGGATACTATACGATTGACAGGTGAGGGCGGAAAGCTTAGTGCATATAATCAGTCTGAATCAATATTTGGACTTTCAAATTCCAGAGAAAATGTATAATATCCCATACAAAAGCAAAAGAAAACAGACATGAAAAATAAAACACTCCGGGGAGTAATTCTCCAGTCACCACTAGATTGCCAAACTGTCTCTTACATTCACACTCCCAAGTAAGTCTTTCAGACATCATTCCCTCTCACAATCACAGAATCCACGCACTCAATCACCCCCCAGTGGCCAAAGGCTCGTGTACTTAAACTTTTCAAAATGCGCCCTTCTATCATCTTTAAAACTTCTCTTTCCTTCTTCAACAAATACCACCGCGCAGCAACTATAAGCAAAATCAAGTATCACGCATCACGTCTTCTTATAATCGTAACCCATCTTCCCATGGCGAAGGTCACCGGTCTCGCAGCCAAAGAAACCAGAAGAGCAGCTCATCAGCCCATCCACGCTCCTGCAGCAGCAGCAGCAGAGCCCATCTTCACCCCACCAAACAAGGACAAGGATCTCTCATGCCGGCCCTCGATATCCAAAACAGGAGCTCATCGCTGAGGCAACCCATGGGTGGCAGCAGATCCCTTCTCCCACGCACCGGACAAGGACAAGGACAAAGATCACGGATGCCAGCCCTCGTTTACGCCCCCCTCTTACCAAGACCAGCACCTCCCCCGCCCAAGCAAGACCCTACAGGTCTCCCCTCCTACAGCCAGTCCCCTTCATCCTCATCCAACGCCCCAGTTCGCAGCACCGCCGCAAAATCCACCCATCACCAGAAGATGGCCAGCCGCCAAACGCAAATCACCAACCTCCCCCCCGCCGCCCGTCAACAACAGGAAGAATGGGCACAAGCGCAGCTGCGCACGAACGCCGGTGCGTGCCTTGCAGGCTGGGCCTGGGTGCGGACGGAGAACAGTGGCGGTCTATCCGGCTATCGCTGCCAAGGACGCTCGCACTTCGTTACCGACGAGCTGCTGGCGCGGGGGGAAGCGACGTGCTATATGCGGGATATGGCTCTATACGAGCTGTACAGGGAGACGCGGTGGGAGGGCCCGTATAACCAGGTGCAGGTAGCGGCGATGCGGGGGATGGGCCTGGAGGTGTACAAGGCGCATACGGCGGAGATGAAGGAGCGGATTGAGTGGTTGCAGGCGGTGGGGAGGTGTCCGTTTGAGGCTGAGAGGAGGGAGGAGGAGATGGTGCTGGCGAGTCGGGCGTGGCGC